CCCGCCCGCCCGCAGCTTCGGCGCCTGACTCCGGGGCGGTGGCGGTGGCGGCCACCGCGCTCCCTTCCCGGCGCGGGGGACCCAGCTCTCAAGCTCCCATTAGCCGCCCGAAGAGCCCTGACGCACACGCACTCGGCAGCAGGCTGGCCTCGGCTAGGAATCCCAGGAAGGACAGACCCCTTTCCCCCTGTTTTCCTCTCCCCCCAATTTCCACGTCTTTATAGCCGGCTTAGGGCATTATTAGCACATGTCCTGGCTCGTGGGCGAGTTGGTGGCAAAATCTGAACTGGATACTCACCCAGGGCCAGAGCTGTGCCTTCCTCAGCCTTCTTCCTCCTCGCCAGGAACGACCCTTCGCTGGCGGGCTGCGGGCGGGCTGCCGGGTGGAGCGAGTCTCCTCTCGGCAGCTCAGCGGTGCCCCTTCTGCAGCTGTGCCGCTGGGAACATTTTATAGTGGCGGCTGGCGTGTGTGGCCCTTTAAAGGCGCTCGAGCTGGTGCAGTCACCGCGGATCGTGTGAAACCGAAGGGCCGGCTGGGGAACGGAGTCCGAGCGGCCCCGCGGGTCCAGCAGGGCTGGGGACCGGCCTCAGCTCCCGGGATGGGGCTGGCGGGCCCAGGCCATGGGCACCCCGAGTCCTGAGCCCCCGGCCAACGCCTGTACTTCTAAAGCTGGTGGGGTCCCGGCCCGGGACACAGCCTCTCCCCACCGTCCTGCATGGACTTGCCCAATAAATTCCACTTAATAATTTCGCTGAGGCGAAGGAGAGCTGTGTGTTTTCTGACCTAAATCTAGCCGGTGGCCCGACAGGGCTTCAGGGGGTTGAGGGGAAGGCTATGGATTTAGGGAATGACCTCGAGGAGGGAGACGCACACGGGACCGTGCCCGCGGGGCACGATTTGGGTTTTCCGTAGGGCTTTCTCGGAGCCCATATGTCCCTTTGGGGCGCACCATCTCCCTGGTTGAAAAGACGTGGTGGGGGTCCCCTTTCCCCTTCAGGTCACCAGATTCCGGGCAGAGCCTCATGGAGGGCCTATTCGGTTGGCAGCGGTGGCTTCCCTCGAAGGCCTGAGCAGGGATTGGGGTCCCAGGGATTCTCTCGTGGTCATGCAGAGCGGACAGAGGCTGGCGGGATGCCACACAGAGACATGCTGCCCTCAGGGACGTGGGGCCAGGTGCAGCTCACGAAGCCCGCCAAAACGCCAAGAACAGGCAGCAGGGGAGGGAGAGCCTGTCCTGGGGCTGGCGGAGATTCCTCCTGCCTTCCCGCCAAGCCAGGTTATTTTATTATGATGGTACAATCATTCCCACCTAGCATTCCCGAGCACATCTTTCTCGGTTTGGGATGTTATCTTACAAATCTGGACCGGCAAGAGGTGCACGCCTTCTCCTTTTATCTCAGTTCATGCTCCCTGTGGCCAAGAAGCTCTCAGCTCATCTCTTACAGGAAGGCCATCAAGACTACCCCTCTACCACACTCTCTTTTTTGGCCCCTTTCAGAAACAACTACTCGGTTTACACTGTTTATAACTGCTCTCTCTCTCTCTCTCTTTTTAAGTGCTGATGTTAAGAAAAAAGGAGGGGGGAGGGAATGTCACGAAGGCATTTTCACCATGTATGTGTTCTGTCTTCTTAATTGGATTTGAAGACCTAAAGGTATTTTCCTTCCCCCGCCCTTTTCTTTTTTTGTTTCTTCTCTTCTCTTTTCTTCCTTTCATCCCCAAGTACCTTGCATTTGTTCTTCGAACAAAGTTCTGTTTGCTGAGGGCCTGACCAGCTCACTGACACAAAGATGAGCAGTAAACAGAAGGACAGGTCAAGGCCCTTCCTTGATACCTGGAGGAGGCTGGGCAAGTTCTCTTGACTCCAGGTAAAGCCATTCCCCAGCCCCCAAAGCTGCCTTGTGCGTTTTCATTCCTTCCCCTCACCCAGCACCAAGGCAAACCCCAGTAATAACCACACCCCTACACACCATCGCTGCTCTCTCACTTTGCCCAAAGTTCGTGGGTCGTGCCCAGTTTCCCTCTGATAAAAGGTGAGATATGTAGGCCGGCGGAGCGGCATGTTGGTTAAGAGTTGGCTTGGGACGCCAGCTCTGAGCATCAGGGCCCCAGTTTGGATCCCACATGAGGGTCAGTGACGCTGCACTCTCTACAGCTAAGATGGTGAACAAGAGCTCGACCTGGAACTTGGCTGCCCTGAGTTGCCAGCGATGGCATAGGCTGCAGTGGGGCTGCCTGGGCTGGTGTAACCTACTGTGAGTGGCTGGCAGCCAGTGTAAGCTGCCGTGAGTCCTCGTGAGTGGCCGTCCAGTGGCCAGCGAGCGACTGCCTCACCCGGGAAGAGCAAAATAATAATACCAACATGGGCCAGTGAAGCGAGTCCTCCACAACTAGACTGAAGAACAAAAGGACAGCAACTTGTCTGTTCCTCTTTCCCAATTCCCCAACGCTGTTCCCCTCCCGCAACTGCCCAATAAAATCTTAAAAAAAAAAAGTCGGGATCTGTCGAGACCATAAAACCCTACAGAGTTTGCCTGTAAAATACACCCTCAAGCCATCTCAGTGTTTGCCTGAGGCAAGAGGCCCTAGGTTTACCAATTGTGCGTTGCTAATTTGGACCTCGGACCTACGCTCCCTCCGCCTCAGCCAGCGATGGGGAGCTGTTCTGGAAACGGTGGCAACGGCTTCGTTGCAGGCTCCGGATCCGGGAGGTGGTGGATCCGCCCTCCATCTATTGGATGGCTCCCAGGCCAATTGTTAGAAAGAGGCATATGTTCATCTCGGCTTCTGGAGTGTCTCCGGAGCAGTTGCTCAACAGCCAGCCCCTCCCCCATCTGGACCCTTGAAGGGCAGAAAAAGGAGCACCCTCCGCCACATTTCTGTGTCCCCATGCCTGAAAGGATCTCCCCACTGGTGACTTCCTGTCATCCCCCCTGCCCACCTCCTGGACAGCGGGAAAGAGAGGGGCTTCAAGCACTCAGCTTTGGAGCGCAAAAGCCACCCCTTTCTTTTGGGGGCGATGGGAGAGGAGGCTAGTTGCAGAGGCAGAGAGAGAGAGCAAAGGAGACATTTGCATTTCTCTGCAAATCTGTCCTGGGTCTCCGACTTCCCAGGCGGCTCTAGCCGAGCTCAGAGCTCTCCGCCGAACTCTTTCCAACTTGGCAGCTAGACTGCGAGCTCGCCTGGCAAGTAGAGGACGGGGATGGTCACCCGGCAAGAACCCTCTTCGCGCCAGCATTGGGCCTGGCACGTTCCCATCCATCATCTCATTTAATTCCCACGACAGCCCTGTGAGGCCGGGTTTACTGAAGGTGAAACGGAGTCCCGGAGATTTGCCCAAGTTCACGCAGCCAGGAGGCGGGTGTTTGATTCAGAGTCAGGCTGACTGCAGAGTCCTTACCCTCACCCCTACACCCCGTTGCCTGGGAGGGTAAGGAAGCGGCTAGAGTGCTCAGAGTACAGGTTCCGGGGTCGGGTCGGTCCGCCTGGGTTGAAATCTCTACCCTGCCCTTTCCTAGGTGTGTGATCATAAGCCAAGTGGCCTCACTCCTTGAGCCCTCGTTCCCCATCTGTTAAATGGGGATAATAATGGTAGCAAGGATGGAAACGCTTAGCCTGGTTGGTGCCTGCTGTGTAGTAAGGGGTCACAAAATGCTGTTTTTGTGCCTTCTCTTTTCCTTTGGCCTCCTAGCCCTGCTTCAGCTCACACTTCAGGCTCAATAATACTTGCTGACTGACGAATTTCAAAAAACAGACCGAGAGGGGTGAAAGAGAGGAAAATGCAGATTTGTTCTCAAAATTCCACCCTCCAGAACCAAGGGCTATCTGAGTCACTGACAGGAGTAAATGAGGAACCAATACAAGTGATCACTTTTTACAGGACAGTCGTAAACATCCAGACTGCTCTTCAGAAACATATATGCAACACGTGTGTAGAAAAGTTAAAAAGCGTAAGTCTTTGTTCAAGAATGTTTGGAGCAGAATTGTTTACATTAGTGAAAAATAGAAAGCAATGTAAACATCCATGGTGAGGAAGTGTATCCTCGGCGCTTAAAAATCCCTGATTTCCCAAACTCTTATTTATGGGAAAATGCTCACAACAAATATTAAATTAAAAAAAAAACTCTGGGTACAAAGTTACATATACATGATGCCAAGTTGCAAAGGGCACAAAGAGTAGAATATTAAATACTATGTTCTCTACCATGTATGACTATAGGTCAGGAAAACACCAAACCAGCAAGAGTGTCAGTGGTGTGGTAGGATTACGAGTGATTTTTTTCTCTTTTCTCCATGTTGTACAATATTATTCTTATAATTAAATATAAGTTTATAGTTATTGAACTGCATAAACAGTATGCTCCCAATTTTGTTAAAATTGTATGTGCAAGGGCCGGCCGAGTGGCTCAGTTGGTTAAGAGCTCGCTCAAGAGTTTGAGCTCTGAGCAACAGCGGTTCGAGTCCAGCCCGAGCTGGATGGGTCAGCTAAAAAAAAATTGTATGTGCATAGAAGAAATATTAGAAGTAAATACACCGAAATTACAACAGTGATTATAATTGAGTAGTGGGATGATGGGTGCTATTTTTCTTTGACTTTATTTTCTGCAATATGATTATATCATTTTCTTACAATTAAAACAGATTCATAACTTGAAAAGTGCACAATCAGTATGGTCCCACTTGTGTTAAAAGTATGTATGTAACTTGAAAAAAATAGGAAGGAAATATATGAAAATATTAAGTTTGTATATTAGGTGGTAAAGATTGTGGGTAATTTTCCCTCTTGATTGTTCTGTAATATGATTTTATTATTTTTATAATGATAATAAAATGATCCACACAAATGGCATATACAGTAGGGTCCCACTTTTTTTTTGTATGTGTATATATATATATATATATATATATATATATATATATATA